TGGGCGCCCGCGGCTGGGGGAAGGACGAGCACGTGTAAAATTTGAACGGCTGCAGGCAGATTCCAAACCCAAAGGGCTGTGGCAGGGACGTTGCCAACAGCAGTTTCTGATGATGGCTGCTGCCTTGCTCCCAGCCTGGCCCGGGAAAGCTCACTCATTGAAATGTTCACCTGGCCGACGTCAAGGTGTCCAACTCAAACACAGTGTTCCGTCCCTGGCAATTGCCTCATGGGGACACTGAGGCACCTGTCACTTTACACCCACCACATGGATTAGCTCCTCCCCGAGTCCTCTGGTCAGATTCCTGCCCCGTGATCGCCTTTCTCCCATCTGCAGTCGCCAGGCATTTGCCACCTTAGTATCCTAGAGATGGTCCTTTTAGATACTTTGCTTCAGCTTCCTTGTAATCTAATCCATCAACAGCAGAAATTGAACAAATGATTGCTTCTGGCAGAAGAACTTCTAGGATAAATTTAATTTTATCATCTCTTATCCGAGCTAGCATTCTTTCGTCGATTTTTTTGTAGATTTCTTGTAAATATTGCACTACCTCATCCAACTGATCTTCATCTTCAAAGTATGTTTCAATACAGGGAGTGAACCTCTTTGCTTTCAAAAATGATTTCAGCCACCTGGATGCTTTTGTGCCATTTAAAATGGACAGAAGATGGTTTTCTGCTCCTTTTGCATTCACAATGAAGTCCACTAGATTCCTGTTGGCTCGGTCCCGAGCCGACTTCATTCGGTCAGGGAGAATTTTTTTGAAGGACATTCTTTTGGTCTGGGAAGTCATGGCCATCGGTTCCATAGAATCTTCATTATGCAGCTTTGGAAATAAGTTCCTGAAGGTATCTTGTCTGATTACTTTCCTGATTGGATAACTAATGTCAGCAGCATAATACTCAAGGAAAGAGCCTGTAAAAGAACCACAACCTAGTCTAACTCTGTAGTCACAAATCAGTGAGATGCACCAGTCAATACTTTCACTGTAATCCTCCCTGGCTTTATCCACTAGTGCTTGTTTCTCTTTACAATCAAATTTTTTTAATCTTCTCAAAAGCACTCTAATGCCTCTCTTTTCACGATTCATGTTTGCCTCAACAAAAATCACACTTGCTTTTTTCTCTTTTCTCCTGATGCTTTTCACTATGGCTGGCCAAAATGGATATTTTTTATATTAACGTGGCTCATAATGAAAAACAACTGGTGGAAGTACTTCGTCTTCCTCGTCGTCATCTAGTGCAGAAGTATCAACAGGATTTAGAGGCACTGACTTATCAGAAGCTTGGAGTTCTTCATGTTCCTCAAAATCTGGATTCTGGCCACTTCTTTCATTATTCCCACGGAGTGAACAATCCATGACACGGTTAGAGGCACTAAATGAAACCTGACATTCCCGTGAACAATAACTGGGGGATGCCAGCGCACCTGTGTCTGATTCTACAGGTTGATTCTGGCTTGTATCTAAGCATGAATTCGAGGGACCCTCTCCAGGATCCTCAATATTCTCTGAGAAGGCAGAGCATTCAGAGGAAATGGCCAGTGTCTTTGGGCAGAGATCTTCTGGCTCCTCTTTCAAACTTTTTGGCACAATGAAGATATCTGGTGGTGAAGTTGTAGTGAACTTCTCTTCTTTAACATAAGTACCTTCCTCTTTGATTGTAGAATCCGAAGGTGTAATTGTTGGGATGTCAATCTTTTTCTTGCTCTCCTTTTCATCCTCTTCTGAAAGTGGAGGGAAAATTTGGTACCAGCTGGAGTTTTGTGATGATTTTGTTTCCATCTCACTTGGAATAGTATCAATGGTTGCATGCACTTGTGATTTATCATCATACAAGGAATCATCACTTTCTGAAGATGCTAACAGAAATGTTGGAATTTCACTTTCTTCAAGACACTTCGATAAGTTTCCTTTAGGCTTCCGATACTTTTTACGAGGGGGTGAATTAGAAAGCTTTTGTGGTACATTTTGAGACAGTGTAGTGGTCTCTTCTTCATCTGAACTGCTTGATTGATTCAAATTTGTTCTCTTATTCAGAATACCCAATGCCATTTTTAGTGACCTTGCATAAGCTGTTTCCTCTCTAGGTGGATAACTGCCCTCTGACTGTGCTGCTAGTGAGGAGGCAATGGCTTCAATTTGAGATTTAGTTAGGATCTTTGTTTCCTTGCTTTCCACTTTAATTTTTTCATTTACTGAGAGTATTTGAACTTCTAGGGAAAATGTCTTTTTTCTCTTACTGTTTGATGAAGTCTCACATCTGGACAAAACTTTTGCTGGCCATAACTGGTCTTTCCAATTGCATAAGACGTACTCAGCATCCATTACGACTTAGATTTGTTTATTATCAGAGACTGAGGTGAATGACTATTCTTGTCAATATTAAGGCAGTTCCTACCCAAAACAACACTCTCACCAAAATCTCCTTTGTCTTAGAATTACCAAATGTTTATAGCTTTTTTGGTCTGTTCTCTTCCAGCAGAATTTCCCAAGGATGCTTGAGCCCGTTGCTTAAATGGGACAATATGAGAGATACTGCAATAGGGAAAAGGAAAAGAAGAAAATTATCAGCAAACAAGGTTATTTTGCCAAAGTGGAAGGTGAGCGATTACAAATAGAGATAAAAGAAAGAATAATTCTCAGTGGGGCATGATATGGAGGGGAAAATGCAGCATAATGTAAAGTGAGGGTAAAATTGAAGAAGTGGTTTATAATACCTCAAATTCAAGAACTTGTCCTTACAATTTTGCACTTGATTATTAAGGACTGAATCAGTGTACTTGCTGGCAGAGGTGGGAAAGGTTGTAGTGGTAAGTCAGGGACTCTATGTTATTAACTCCGTTGGGACATTTATGTCTCTACTGTTATACCTAAGGCAGTAGGAATCCAAACTTTGCATGCATCAGAATCATCTAGAGGTCTTCCTAAAACTGTATTTCTAGGCCTTATCCTGATAGTTTTATCCAGAAGATTATAAATAGGATTCAACATTTTGTATTTCTAAGTTCTCAAGTGATTCTATTGCAACTTGTCCAAGAACTTTAGAATCATTGTTCTGGATAAAGACATGGTTTTATAATTTTTAAGGTATAAATACTTTCCTATTTACCCAAAGCAAGCAAAGTATGCATCTCCTCGGGCCAGACAATAACACATGACCTTGTGAAAAGCATGAGCTTAGAAGGCAGAGATTCAGAATGGTTGTTATGTTTACTAATTGGGTAGAATAGTTAGCAAAGATTTATTGAGAGTAAGGTGGGTAAAACTCAGGTAGAAATCTGAATATCCTCTTGCACAGTTTCTTCATAGTGGTTCAACATGAGATTCTTCTCACAAACTAGAATTGATAACTTTTATTTTTATTTTTAAAAATATATATTTTATTGATTTCAGAGAAGGATAGAGAGATAGAAATGCCAATGAAGAGAGAATCATTGATAGGCTGCCTTTTGTATGGCCCCTACTGGAGATCGAACCCACAACCCAAGCAAGTGCTCTGACCTGGAATAGAACGGTGACCTCCTGGTTCATAGGTCAACATATAATCACTGAGTCACACCAACTGGGATAAAAGTGATGATTTTTAATTACACAATATTATGGCTATAGAACAAAATAAATTATAAGGGAACAAAATAAATTATACTTCAAATTTTCAATTTAACATGGTTTTAGTATGAAATATAGCTATATAGCTTCTAATTAAAAATTCTATGGCTGCAGCCCTGGCTGGATGGCTCAGTTGGTTGAAGTATTGAACTGTACACTAAAAGATTGTGTCTGATTCCCAGTCAGGGTACATACCTAGGTTGCAGATTTGATACTGTAAGAAATTTCTCTCTCTCTCGATATTTCCCTCTCTCTCTCTCTGAAAAAGTCAATAAAAACATCTTCATGTGAGTGTTAAAATATTATGCTGCAGAGAAGGAAGCAAAATAAATTCTAACTCAAGTTCTCAACAAGTTTTTAATGTGAAATATTTTGTGAAATGGGAAGAGCCTTAGCCAGTGTCACATGTGTCATAGAGGATCTGGTCTTGTGCCCCAGTTGTCTTGATTATCACTTGAAAAGAAGAAAGGCTATACAAAAGGAGATAGAAATTCAAACCAAACAAATGGAAAAAACATATTGAAACTTTCCTGCCCAAACTTTAGAAGGCATGCCATTCTGAAACACAGGAATGAGATAAAATCTCATCTGTGATATAGATGCCATATTTACTTTCCTTATTTTTATTTTTAAATTCTCTTTGTGACACAGTTTATTTGGTTAATGTGAGATGATCTTTATGACTAGAAAACTGTGAGCTGGGGATAAGAGAGAAGGGAAGAAACAAATTGCCTTGTGTCTACTATGAACAAGACTATAGATTTTGCTTGAATCTGCACATCAATCAATATGTGGATTTTTCCTTCTTTGCAAAATAACTTTTTTCATTGGAATTTTAATAATACTCTACATGCTGTCTCATAGTCCACTAATACAAAAATATGTTTTATTGCTTTGTTTCCCACTTTCATAAAAATGGTTGCCTGAAGAAAATGTAGTAAACCTGGGAAGCCCCATCTTGTAACCAGAATCAGAACTGCAGCCTCCACGGGAGGTATAGGCAGGGCTTCAATCATGATCAGATCCTTTTTATGAGAAGAGAATGAACTACATTTAGCCAGTCAGAAGCCTCCCCAGGCTTCTAGAATTTTCTATTCTAAGTTCAAGGCTTTTGCTTTGTCAGATTATAACAGGGTCATAATGTCTTCAATTACAATGTTTGTGACTATAAAAAATATCCAGAAGCTTATAAAAAATTGAAAAGTGCAGAGAGATATATACAAAATAAAGTACAACTCTACAAATAATCACTGTGAATATTTTCTATAATATAAGAATTATTTGCATATAGAAATAAATATTTTCAAACCAACATCAGATCTCAATTAAGAACATATTTTGAACATCATCCTATTTAAATATTTCCCACATGATTTTTATGAATTACTTTATATTTTTCCCACATTTACAACATTTTATCTGTGTTTTACCTAATGATGTAAACCAAGTAAATAAATAAGTATATATTAATACTATTTTAAATAGTAGTAAAACTAGTTCTGTTTCTCCAGATATGTCTCCAGACATATCTGCATATGTCTATGAATGCTTATGTGTTTTAAACAAAATGGATATGTTGTTTCAGCTTCACTTTTCTTTCATGGTTATAAAAATAATCATGGGGAAATATACTCTAAAGATGCTGCAATGGGCTAACCTGACCACTGAGAAATGCTGACTAACATGGGAGTTTATTTTCTCCCAGGTTTTTTTCTAATCACACATATATATGCATATGTATGTACAAGTGTCTCCAGTCAACTACATATCTGCTCCCCTTTCCATGTTCATATACAGGTGACATATAGCCTTTCTATCAATTCATAAGAGTATTCTCTCCCATGCTGTCACATATTTTATCCATCATTTTCTCTGTAAAGTAAAAATGCTTAAAAATTCAAGTAGTAACAAAATTCCAGCAACATAAACATGGAATGCCAAGTCAATAAATTAGCATGAATGGCTATACTGCACTGAAATCTTAATATAGAGGCTGTAATCTGATCACTTCTTCTCCCACTGTAGATTTTTAATGCATTGGGAGATACAGAAATGCTAAAGGATTAATTCCTTCAAAATGCGAGAAATTCTTTCAAAACCACACACTGTTCTCACCACTTTAAGACCACCATTCCTATTTTTCTCATCTTTACTCTTGGGCCCTGAGAAGTCCCTGAAAAAGAACTAGAGTTAAGACAGTCATTACCTTGAAGCTTTTTGTCAGCTGCAGCCTCCTGAAATGCAGTCCCTCCACCAAGAATGCTTCTGAGAGAATGCTCCGCCTCCTCCCTGTGATGGGGAAGACAGAAGGCCTCTCCCTGAATTGGAGGAGGGACAACAGCCAAGTTAAACTGCTGAAGTGTTAAAGGGTAGAAAATGTTCCTTAAGGAAGTTAAAAGTGAAATGGCAACAAGTGTCTGTTTAATTTCCATTCAGATCCTTAGAATGTGTAACTTCCTGGTAAAAAGTGGTAGCAAATTCCTTTATTAAAAAATAAAAATCTAGTTTAAAATATTCCTTCCATATTTTCCCTTGCCTTATCTGGCATTTTACCTCTGCAGGTAAATTTAAAACCCAGTTGCACATGCTTCATTAAAATAGCTCACTAAGACTGCTGATTGGGATTGCACTAAAAATGTACATTATTTTATGAAGAACTACTCATTTGTAATATTTTTTTTATGTTCCCAGTACATGATAGTCTCTCCTTTTATTCATTTCTTCTCTTAAATGCTTCAGGAAAGTTTCACAGATTTCTTCACAAACTTGGATGTTTCCAACTAAAGGCTGAAAATTACTGGTTTGGCAATAAAGTACACATTTCACATACCCTCATCAATAATTAGTAATTCCACCCTAACCAGTTTGGCTCAGTGGATAGAGTGTCGGCCTGCAGACTGAAGGGTCCTAGGTTCGATTCCGGCCAAGGGAGATGTACCTTGGTTGCAGGCACATCCCTAGTAGGGAGTGTGCAGGAGGCAGATGATCAATGTTCCTCTCTCATCGATGTTTCTAACTCTCTATCCCTCTCCCTTCCTCTCT